TTTGTGCTTGGTTTATGGCTAAAGATGCACTGTGCAACTTTTCTGGTGGAGGGTTTGCTACCTACTTGTTTTCATGGATATGCTATTGCTTTGCCTGTAATGTTCCATGGTGTGACATTAAACATATCCATCTAGCATTTATTCATTACAGGTGTTTCTATTGCTCAAAAATACAACAATTCCTTATAAATAGAGTGAATATTGAATAGAGGCGACTCTCCACAGATCTGAATTGTAATGTAGCGAAAGGCTGTCACCTGCTTGTCTCCCTCGTGATAGATGGGATTCTCTATACTGTGGAACATTCTTGACAAATATGTCCATGGAGACAAGCAGATGGAAGACTCACCACTAGAAATGTTATGCAGTACACCTTTAATATCTGTAATTCGTGCCTATATCCAGATTAAACAAAAACTGTTTTCTGTGAGCACTCACAATAGAATAAAGTTTAAAATGTGATTATTCGACCACACTGGTTTGTTGTCTTTTAAATACTACTTAAAGGTGCACTATGTAACTTCTAAGGTTGAGGGTCTGATACTTGATCGTCTTCATGGAGATGCTATTTTTTTTGCATGGACTGTTCCTCAATATGGGATTTAACAAATTTACCTTGAATTTTTTCAGTTACAGGTGTTTCATAGCTCAAAAATACCATGAAAAACATGAATTCTTACTATGTGCAGGCTTGTTTCTCCATAGATCTGACCACTAATGTGATCAAAGTTTATCTCCATAATGTGAAGTGATCAAGGCAAAGCTGTAACATCTCCAAGGAAACAAGCAGGTGGCAGCCTCTCCACCAGAAAAGTTACACAGTGCATCTTTAAACAATCCCTAACAAAAACTTCACACTCACAAAACGTTCATGTGACGCTGGTTCCGCCCTCCCTCTATTTGAAATCATGACTAAATTCTAAAGCTTGAATCCAGTCTCTTTCATAAGGATTAGATCTTGTACAATATTGAATGGAGCGACAGGTGTTGTGTTGTGAATATGATTTCCACACAATGTCATTATTATACTCATGGGGTCAGAGTGGCGTGGTTCTTAAGATGTCTCTCGTTCTGTGTTGGAGCGGTGCAGGGTCCCGCCTCCGCCCACACAGCGCTGACGAAGCCATGGCGACACAAAGCGCTGCCCTCTGCATTTACCTGACCATTGTTTACAGTGTGTAGTCACAGGAGCAAACAACAAAACCAGGTACTTTTGTGTAGCTGGTGAGTCACTCCGGGCTTTGTAAATATTCCAGCAGTTTTAACGGTTGTCATCTTTTCATTTTCTTGTCTTACATTTGAGCTTGTGTGTGTATAACTTGACATAGTATTGTGTGTGTGTGTATATATCTTGACATAGTATTCTAATGTGAGTCAGTGTAGTTGGTGCATGATACTAGCGTGAGACCGGACACCTGGCATGCCCATTACCTGCAACTTGAGTGACACTTGAGGATCAAATTCAAGGCCTCTTTGAAAAGCAGGAAATCCACTCTTTGACTCACCATTCAGTCAGTAACGGATCTCTCATTTAAACTGCAACACTTCTTAGATTCAATTTGGAGGCATGCATTTTTAACAACATTTAGTGGCTAGCTTCTCACCTGTTAAATTTTCAATCACTATTGCATCGGGAATTGTAGTTGAGTTTAAAAATACACTAAATGTCATGAGAGATTTTATTTTGGGACTACATCAGAAATGTTCTACATGTAAAACATGAATGGATTGTAAAATAAATCTTAAACGTGCTGAAATATTGACTTATACCCTTGTTTGGATAACTTTAAAAGTCTAAACTCTGCTCCAAATCACATACTTTAACTGAAAGAGGCTACAGAGCTCATCGAAAAAGACCCAAGGATTTTGGTGACTATAAGAAATTTGATTAATTGCACCGCCCTAAAATGCCTTTTAAGACGTTTTAAATTATTGACAATATTCTTAATTAGGGGTGTGCAAAAATATTGAAATGTCGATATATTGTTTAATGTGATGATAGTGTATCGATATGGTGGGCTGCTGTATCGATATTAATTGATACAATTACAGTATTAATTGGTATATTTTACTAAATTATTTTGTTACAGTGCTACAGTTTTGTTGCGTGTTCAGTGGAAGGAAACTCGTTTATGCAACACATTTGAGATTTTCACAGTTTTGAGGATTAAAATGTGAGTGTTTCATATTCACTTTGGACAAGAAGTGGTTTAAAGACTTCTAGTATCACAGCCATGATTTAAGCTTGATTTTTTTATTGAACCATATCAAATTGATTTTAAATATATCGTATCAAACCGAAAGTGCACTGTATTGAGATATGTATCGTATCATGGTTTATGTATCGAGGTATGTATCGTATCGTATGTATATCTCCAAAACAGCAATAGTTTTATTATTATTTCCCCTATACATCTGTCACCTACTTATGACCTGACAGTTTTATATAAAATTTTTAACATACAGTTTTCAAAACCCACTGAATTATAATGCAATTTAAAAATATCTCAACTAATCCCCAATCCAGATCCATACATTTGGCATTTGTGTGCATGTGTGTGGTGGTCCTCATTGTAAAACCGCAGGGATCATTTAGTGGGACCCCTCACTGTCATCGTCTGTGACCACACATTTCCTCTTCTTTATATCATAACAGTCTGCTCCATCAGGACTGACTCTGACTCCAACTTTGGTCTCAAATTATTTCAGTCTCTTTTAAGCAGTAGTGCACGCTTCGTCCGTTTAAGAACTACTAGGGTCAATTTGTACAGAAAAAGTGATGCTTCAGGCCAGTGTCATTTGTGGTTTCTTCATTTTGTCATAATTCTGAGTAATTCTGATGTGGCGTAGGCCTATTTGCAAGTGTGAACATGTCTTTCTTGAGAAATAAAATGAACTGAAAGATGGCTCATTTGATACAAAAAACAAATCTGAACCTGAAATGTAGTTAAGGTTCATTTCATCTGGATGTTTATTGCTTTTTTCATTATTAGTTTAGTTTATTTCATTTATTTTACAAGGACAGTACAGGAACATTAAGCTAAGAAACACTGAAGAGAAAAATAATTATGGCCAAACAATTATTTAAGCTTGAAAAATAGTGAAAGGAAGAAAACTTTGAATCCTACTCAACACTGTCTTTCGTTAATAACATAACTATCATAAAATGACATGAAACAAGATATTTTAAAGCTTTATAGTTTTGGTAATTGCTTCACTATCTTTTGGAGGGAATCCTAATTGTAATATTAAGAATGTAAACCCCCATTTTGTCCTGTTTAGTCATTCCACCCACACGTCAACGCGCCTTGCTCAAGTATGTTTCCCTTCAGTTAATGCAAATTCACTTTCACTGTGTCATAGAAACATTTCGTAAATCTACAAGTCTTATCACATAATCACATTTTTGTTCAATTACTTGTATTGGCAGCTTGTAACTGATAAAAAGTTTGGATCTCTTGTACAGAGATACAGATATTTCAAAGTTAACCAGCAACTAGGTTACAGCATTGTTCTTTTTTTATAACAAATATGCATTTGAAGTAGTAAGAGCTGCAACCAACAATTAGTTTTGTAGTCAAGTAGTCAAACAATTTCTACATACATGAAATATTAAATGTTGCACTTGTTGAGACTTTTTGGAATAGATTTTTAACCAAATATAAAGTTTGAAATATGGTCACTGAAGTCTTCTAGTTCAAGAATGTTCCTGAATTAAGTATATTATGGATAAAATATATATATACAAGTTTAATAATAATTTTATTTATAATTAATTTATTCATGGAAAGCTCCTTGAGATGCAGCATCTTGCTTTTATAGGGGGACCAAGAATATAAAAAATTTTCTTTTAGTCTTTAATCTTTAGTCTTCGTTATAAAAGGTCTTTTGGCACGTGTCTCTGTACATTCAAGTTAATGATTACGATTAATTTAATGGCCGACTGGTCACGATTTTTGCAGTTATTACGCTTAATCTTTACAGCCCCGCTCTGAAGCTGTCCAGAGAAATGGCTGTATTACGTGTGCAGTTCCCCTATATTTTCTTTACATAGAAGCTGCGTGTATCCCGTGCCCAGAAGAGGGGATCCCACTCTTTTGGGGCCAGGCGCTGGTTTCCGCAGGTCACCACAGGAATGTCAGAAATGCTGCGTTCATTGTAGATCTCATAGAGTCAAAGAGTATGTGCTTTCTCTGTCAGTACGGCCTGTATTTTTGTCGTCCGGGGCATCGTAAACATTAGGTGGATGTTAAGCACTACACTGTAAAAGAGTTATTTTAGCACATACACTAAAATAGCAGCTGCCACCACCTCCTCTGTTGGTAATTGCACCTTAAACAGTAGCTTATAATGGTTTACATGGGTAGAAAATGAGTTTTGCTGGTAGAGCTTCACTATCGCAATCAAATCAAAGTCACAGTTTGAGCTGGTGCAATTATCAAATTGCAAAGGCTGCAGTTATTTAGGCTATCTGTAGTTTAGACCCACGGGACCCAAACTTTTTTGTCTTGACCTACCCCTAAGCTTTCACTTTCAAGCCTATATGGTCTACTGGTGATTCTTTAGTAATTAGAAATTGGTTAACAACTTTATTGTCAATTTCATATTTTTTGCAACAATTATGCTATAAAAACATGATTAAATATGTGAAATGCACTACAAAGAACTTTTATATTTACATACTAGTCAACTGCACCTTTCATGTAAATCTGAAACCTTTCCAAATACCCCCTGGCTGGGCATCACTGGTTTAGAAATCTACCAACAGGTTCTTGTATTAGTTTATTGGATAGACAGATAGATACTTTATTGATCAGGATGGAAATTCAAATCATTTCATTATCAGTTCAGTCTTCTTTCTGTTAATGCTACTGGAGTTGTTTGCAATGAGCCCTCTGAACAGAATTCTACTTTGTAAACATATACTGCAGATCTAATTATCAGAGAAATTCCTGGGTTTTTTATCAGTTTTTTTTTTTTTTTTTTTTTTTCAAAATCATTCAGCTCTAGTTGTTGTTGTTGGTTGTAGATAATGAGGACTCTCATAAGATTGCTCTTCTTTCTGCTCTATTTTATATATTTGTTTAATGTTATGATACTGATAATTTCTTTTTATATTTTATGAATGAAATAAATAAATACTCTGAACAGAATCCTACTTTGTAAACAGATACCACAAATTTAATTGCAATATTTATCAGAAAAAGTGCAATTAGGTTTTTCTTTTTTTGTTGTTGTTGTTGGGGTTGTTTTGTGTAACCCACAGGTGGCGTTACAGGGACAGGTATCGCTGAGTCACAGTGACACAGACCCACAGTGACATGAGAGCACTCTGATCACAGCATCAGACTCATGGAGAGACTAACGGCAGCTCCTTTGGTCACATAAGGCGTGTTTCGTAAACACCTGGGTGTCAAGTTTCCAAATATTCACTTCAGTTTTACTCACGGTCTAGTTATTTTAGATTGTAAGGCAAGGCAATGGAAGTTTATTTATATGGCACAATTCATACACAAGTAATTCAGAGGGCTATGAAGAATAAGAAAGACTTTAAAATCACAATACAAACAAATCAAAACATAAATAATCATCATAGAATGAACATTAAAAGACAAGAGTGCAGAATTGTACAGTTCTCGGCCTTTTTCTGAGCCATAGTAATTAGGTGTTTGACTGTCTACAACTCAGAGCTTATCATAAAAAGAAAAAAGAAAAGATACCCACAATAAATACTGACTTCCAGAAATTATTGTTCTATTATTATTGATGTATAATTTACTGAGCCATAAGTCAATATAGTAATTATTTTTTATTATTATGTCAGTTGTTCTGAAATACAATTGTTTTTCTTAGACTGTTCAAAAGGATGGCAGGCGTATTTTATCGCCATGTGACACCACCAGGTCCGTTAAGTTAAGAGAAAGATCTTGCATATATTTAGTTACTGATGTTTTTATTGCTCAAAAATACATTGAAATACTTGCGTTCTTTCTTGTATTGTTTGTATGTGCTCGCTTCTCCTCAGATCTGACCTGGAACTTGACCTGGTGGTGTAACTTTTTTGTCTCTGTGAAGATGGATATGTTTAATATCACGCAAAACCAAAACCACGCAGACAAACATGAAAGTTACATAGTTCACCTTTAATTGTGAATTATACCAAAATCTCTTAAACATCCATGAAATGTTAATAACTCCACTATATCTTACTTACTCAAATTATTAACAATGATGAGCCCAAAGAGGAATTAACTTCATTTTAAAACAATTTAGGACAATTTAATATTGCAAAACAAAGTACAGTCAGCACTTTTCTGCATTATGAAAACCACACCAAGTAAAAAAAAAAAGTACTTTCTAACTCTTGCGTTGGTAGTGGTTTTTATTTCTTCACCACTTCTCTTTGTGGGTCCTATTATGTTATACCTACGCTTTACAGTACAATTGTCCTGAAAATCCTGTTCCATTTCTGTGTTGTGATAACAAGCACGTGTGTAGCTACCGCTATGTGCTGTTTCACCCGGATGCCCTTCCTATGTGCCATCATCCTGTCACAGGCTCCGGAAGTTACAACCCCGCCTGGACATTGCCCTATCTCTTTTTCAGTTGGGTGCTGCTGGGTACTCGTGTATTGCGTAATGCCAACTGTCGAAGTGCGTCACTGGGAGCACCCTTCCTACACATGAAACAGACAGAGTACACACACGTAACTGCTGCTGATTTGAATAATAACTGAATGTTAAGTGCCTTAGTATTAAAAGCTTTAATATGCAACTTTTCTGTTTGGGTCTGTCATCTTCATTGTTCTACTTCAGATGTTCCACAGTGTGACATTGAACAGGTCTACCTTACATTTATTCAGTTACAGGTGGTTTACGGCTCAAACATACAGGCACTCTGACTGTGTGCTCTCTCCACAGATCTGACCAGTAACTTGGCCTGGTTTGGTCTCCATGATGAAGGAAACACTGAAACATTTCTGACAAAGCAATAACATCTCCATGGAGAAAAGCATTTGACAGACCCTCCATCAGAAAAGTTACACTTAAGTTACACAGTTATCCTAAAAAAGGGTCTTATATCTGTGTTTTTTATATTGTATAGTAATAAATTGTATTGAGTTTATTGTTCACAATGCTCTCATGTCAGAACACAATTGGTTTATGACTGTCTAATTAGTCAACAGGTAGTGAAGTGTATAACTGGACATTTTATAGTGAATTTGTATAGTATTGCAGTAAAGCACCTTGTATTTTGAGTAGACCCCAACTTAAAGGAACTGTTTAAATGAAATATATGTTTTACTTTTAAAAATGGTAATGTAAATTTATTCTTAATTACAAAAAACACTGAACATAATGGCCAAGTCGTTTATGTTTTAATTTTATGAACAGTTTCAAATATATTTGTCTTCCACAGTGTGATCGTGAGCCCAAATGAACCCAGTTTAGATCTAATAATAGTGCGTTTCAGTTTCCACTTATAGGCGCCGTTTGGGGGACTTTTGTTTTAAAAGGAAATATTTGCTATGAATTGTTAATTGAAACTTGGATACAGACCAACTTAGGGCAATCTAAACTCTAATGCATACTTCAGCTTAAAACACCAAGATTAAAAGATACGTAATAGTTTTCTGGAAAAGATCTTTCACTTTATAAGGGGGAAGCAATGGGACTTTAAACAAATATGGACACTTTTCTTTAATGTTTTGGCGGGATTGGACTTGACTGTTGATTTGAATACCTAGTCATTTTTGTGTACCGGTACATTTATGTGTGTAGTATTCGAGATATACAGGACAGGAGAGAGGGGTGGTGTGTGTGTTTTTGTCTATTTTTGTTTTATCAAATATCAACATTGAAAAAATAAAATGATAAAAGATATATAATCGTCAAGGCCCTAAATTAACACTTGAGCTCATGAAGTCTGTAACATGTGCCACAGTTAAAGAATTTCTAGTTTGTGTGAGTTTCTCAAAAGTACCCAAACTAGTCCTTATTTGATTCATTTCTTTATAGTGATAATGAGGGGGTCTTCCCATGAGTCAGAATATCCAAACTGTAAAATTACCGGGTTCTTTTTAACTGATGTTAACGTTTTCATTCTTCTCATCTGTACAAATGTTTCTCTTACTTTGTCTTATGTTTTGCTTCCACAGGTTAATTCCCATCTCAGTCTCTGTAGCCTCACACTCAAGAAGCTTGGAGGATTTCACCAGTAGGAGGTGCCATGCCTTTATCAAGCACTGATGCCGAGAGGGTGAAGAGGTCAGAGGCAGACACGGTGGGGTCTCTGCTGGGGACCCCCGCAGGTCCAACATCCAGGTGTGTGTGTAGGTGAGTGTGTTAGTTCGATAGTGGGCAAGAAAGATTAGATGACTTCAGGTGATTTGACAAAAGTAAATAGTTAAAACAAAATAAAAAATCTCATATTGATTGAGCACAGTTTTCAATTCAATTTTATTATGTTAGGCTTTCAGTATTCATTTTCTGAACATAAACAAGACAGACTTTTAATCATTCACACAAAAAATGTCCCAGTTTCTTTCACCAAATTGTGAACTCTGCTCCAAACCACATGAGTTTACTGACAGAGGATTGGCTGTAGACCTCTCCAAGTTATTTAATACTATTATTTTGCAAATTCAGATTTCTTATGTCACTCTAAGTCTGTGGAGACCAGTGTCTTATATGGTACAATTACTATGGTACAATTTTGGCTTTTAACTTCGACAAACTTTATTGACCCACAAGGGAAATTATTTGAACATACAAAATATTGAACATAAAACAGTTTTTTTGTTTTTTTATATTATACAAAGAATTTACAACATGCTTTTCCCCATTGTGAAACAAAAATACTGAACCACAGAGCAAAATATTTAAACATGGCCCCTAATATTAATGTAGATTTGTAGTATAATAGCCAACATCTTATTAGAAGATACAGAACTTCTGGTACTTAAAATAATAATGTGCTAAGAAATCATCTACAAATAGTGAATGGATTTCGTTATTACATGTAAGTGTAAATTGAAAAAAAAAAAGACAAAGAGACAAAAGTTCTAATTAAGGAAGTTTTAGGTGTAGCATTATCCATGTAATTTGCTGTGTAATCTAGGCCTGTCACGATAACAAATTTTGGAGTGTGATATATTGCTGAATTAAATATAGACGATAAATGATAATCCTTGAAACTAATTTATACTGACACAATAACCCTAAAGCAGATTTAAGCTACTAAAACTATTTAAAATCTACAATAGTGTTAAAAAAATATGATCTTCAATAAATACGCATCAGAATGAAAGGGTCATAAGTTATTAATTCAACCTTTTACAGCTTAAATCTTATTGTATAGCCAAAAAATAACCACAAATTTCTCAGTTGTGTAAAGAAAGTACACATGATAAATTTTGTCCCCTAAAAATCTGATTACAGCTTTCACATATTGAATTCTAAACTGATATAGTAATTACCTTAACAGGCCTGGTATAATCGTAACTGATGCTTTTCCGACAAACTGTTAAATGCTTTCCTAAAAGAAGTGCTACAGCTTTTAGGAAAGGAGAACTTACTCATCATTGTTCACAGCGTGAGTTTTCTATTTGTTATTGTTTTGTTTCCTTCTTCTGAATGAGGAAGACAGGACATTTATCAGCATCTTCTCTTTCTCTATGAGTGTTTTAGGAAAAAGGATGTGTGTCGGTAACCCGTGCTTCCCTGTAATTATTCATTAACCAGAAATTACACTGAAATGAGTACAATATATACAGTATGTTTACTTCATATACTGTTTCTTACTGCTTTTTCTTCGAACTTTGGAATACATAAATAAAAAGAGGACAGTTAATGACTAATGCTCCCCAGAGCACCAGTTTGCCTCAAGTAGCATCAATAAAAAATAAAATTATAAAATAAGCCTCACCCTTAAGTAATGCCTGCTTAGACATGTGAAGTGTGTCTTGTTCGATAATGATGCATATTAACTGTATTGAGTGAGTATATTGTCTATCAAACAATCACACTTTATTTATTAAGTGCTTTTCAAACAAAGATTTGCATCCGTCTAAACAAAGAACTTGTCCCTATGATTTTCACATCAACCCTTAATACCCTGTGTGTGTGTGTGTGTGTGTGTATACTACTGTCGTCATAATACTACAATTTCAAACTCTATTTCAAAACTAAGGAATTCACTCAATACTCGATATCAGTTGCTACACCACAGTGAAGATAAAAATACTTTTTGTTTAATAATAGAATGTAATTTTCTTCATCTTTCTTTTTTTCATCTTTATCAGAGCATGAGGTCATATTCACTCTGAAGCTCAAAATCATACTAACACTGATCAGGAAAGCTCACTTGTTTTTTATAGTACTGAGACTTTCTCAAATAAGTTTCTAGATTGGTTTTCAATTTTGACACCCCTACTATGTATACACACACACACAAACACCCACACCCACACACACACACACACACACACACACACACACACATTAAAATTGTGAATTGAAATAATTTACTCCACACAGACTTATGAGGAAATTTTTTTGTGTATAGTTCATTTTTTTCTGCAATTCTTGAATCTCAATGATGGCATTTACGCACATTTCTGATGCTTTTTTTTTTTTTTAAGTTCCCATATTACACTATTTTTTGATCTATATTAAAATGCTGTTTCCTCTTCACAGTTGTGTTTTGTTTCATTCACACATGTTTAGCACACAAACGCTGCATATTTAGGCTGAGTTCCTCTTTCAAACAACAAGAACACACTCTGGAACAGTGTGTCATGTGGCAATACAGGAAGTGCTCCACTGTGTTTTTAAATTCCATACACCCTCAACAGAATCATTAGGATGATTTCAGCCCTGCAGTTGCCAATCTTTAGTGAACTAAAAGTAGCTTTTCATTTGAAAACTGCCACTTCGTGACATCACAACGTGGAACAGAGCATTTTGAGCTTTGGTTAAAGGGTTACTCAAACATGTATGAATGAAAAAAACCACAACTTCATGTATGTTTTTGATTAGGTAACAGCATTATAACAAGACTTTACTATTTATAGCACCTTTAATTAAAAAATGAAAAATAAAAAAATTATAAATAAATAAATATAATAAATTATCAAGACATCACTTTTATCTATATAAGCATTCCCTATAGCATTGACTCATACTTTTGGGTGACCCTTGGCAGCACCCTCTTCTCAGCTGACAGACTTCAGTTAGAGACACCTGTTGTTCCTGTGGTTTTTATGCCCACAACAGAAATCCCCCTCCTCCCCTTCCTCAGCCTCGTCCCACCTGCTGGACCTGTCCTTCTGCCTATATGGAGATGAGACCACCTCCTCCACATATATCTCTCTATCCTCTTTGTCTTTGGAGCCCACCCGCCCACTTGAAACAGACCCTCTGCGCAGGTGGGCACATTTCAGTTGCTAATGCTTACAAACACAGGGGTTTTCAATGGGACAGCTGCCTGCAAGGAGAGGGCATGTCTTTATTATGAATGAAACTGGCACAGATCCTCAAACACTGTGGTGTTAACAAGGAAACTGATGTCTGTTAAAAGAAAAGATGCACTCTTTTAGCTTTTGGGACTTTTTTGTACTTGTGCTGATCAACGCTGTGTGAACTTCTTGTTAACTGTGACTGAATAATTACTGCTTACAGAAAGTACTATGTATTTATAGTAATTGGTAACACACATATTAGCCATTGATAATGACATACTGCTCAGTGGTTATTAAGCTATTAGTGCAGTATTTCTTGTTAGAGTTTATCAAGATCATAATCTATGTAAAAAGCATCTATTTCTATTTATATTTATGAACATTTAATTATAGTTATAATGTGTCCTTAGACAAGTGTTAATAACAACTATTATAAATATATAATTAAATTACATATTATGTCTTATTATAATTTATTAATTAATATGTGGTCCCTAAACTAAAGTGTTAGAAAAATTGGCAATATAATTAATTAAATGGCTCACATTGCACTATTTTGTATGTTATAATGTTGCTTCCTCTTCAGAAAAATATCAGGAGTTGTCTTTTGTTTCATTCACACACAAACTCCGTATATTAAGGAGGAGGAGTTCTCTCAAACAGAAAACACTTGTACTAAAACAGGAAGTGCTCCACTGTGTTTTTAAACTCCATGCACTTTCATTATTATCATTTGACTCATTTCAAACCTGGAATTGGCCATTTTTACTGAGCTAAAGATAAACTGTTGCTGTTAACTTGACAACTATAGCTTCCCAAACATGTGAATGAAACAAAACACAACTCCGGGTATGTTTTTGATGAGGTAACAACTTTATAACTTAAACAAGCATCCATTCTGTGTACATTTGAGACTTATTAATGCATGAACAAGAACTTATTTTATAATGAATGGTTTATTGTGAATGATTCTGGTAAATCCTCTTTATTAAGGGGGTTAGGATATAAATTAAGTAGTTACTAAGCCATTGTTAATAAACTATTTCTTTATCAGGAGTTTCTTTATAAAGGTTAATTAAGATCTACTTATTATATAGTGTTACCATATCTATTCTAGTAACTCTAAATTCTTGTGTAGTCCAACTTACCTCCCTGCTGCAAACCATAAAAAATGGAATAAAACTATACATAGCAACAGAAAACAATCACTTTTAGTCGGTGTTTTCTCTGTGTTAATGAACTCTCCCTCTCCCCTCCTCCTTCTTTTCTCTTCTTTTCCCCGACCTCACATTTAGGAGCTCTGAACTCAATGAACCGAAGATTTATTTTTCTCCGAATCTCTTCCGCTTGCCTCCAGTTAAGACTCCTTCCATCGCACATGTTCGGACCACTTTACTGCCTTAAGGTTCTTGGATATTGATATGTGGGTTTCACGGGACCCCCTGGAGGCTGTTAGCACTTCCTAAATTTTCCAGAACTTCTGCATTCCACATGTCCGGAGTGGTTTTGTACCGTAGCTATTAGCCGTGAAGAATTTTGATATGCCCTTTAAACGTGGCATCTGCTTTTTCACCTTTGCTGACCCACTGTTTTATGTGCACTTTATTGTTTAATCCTTAACTTTGATTTTCTTCCTTAGTTCCTGTTTATATATATATATTTTCATAATCATTTTCTCTTTTGTATAATTGGCCCTTAATACTGTACTAATCCTGTTTATTTTGTACACAGGTTGCAACTGAAGCTGCTTAATCCTATATATCAACAATGATTACCAGAAGTGAAACGATGCGGCTCCACAGGTGACAATTCTCCCTATAAACTCAATATTATACAAACAGAATTTTATAGCTTTTAAAATAATGTCATTTTATAGTTGATAATATTAACTACTCCTAATGAGCCTAAGGAAGACTTGATTCATGATGAACAAATTATTTATTAAAAATGATTAAGGCTTATAACTTCTAACTCCTAAGATGCACTGTGTAACTTAAAACTATATCCAAGCCAATTTACAGGTCTGATCTGTGGAGAGGTGGGTAGAATGCATATTTTTCAAGGTATAGTTGAAAAAAAAAAAAAAATTATATATATATATATATATATATATATATATATATATATATATATATATATATATATATATATATATATATATATATATATATATATATATATATATATATACATATATATATATACATATATATATATATATATATATATTAAATAATACAAAGTTGCATAGTGCACCTTTAAGCAATTAACTCTTTCTTCATGCTGTATTAAAGCTGATTAATGTTTAGTTATTATGAAGTGTAAGCATATATATATATTTTTGTTTTCTAACAATTTAACATAATTAAATTTGTTCATATGGGCACAATAAAGCACTGCTCTGTATTTTCTTCCAATATTCTCTCTAACTTAAAGCATTCCTCGTAAATGGTCTTGCGTCATAGCGGCTAATGTGTCAACAATGGAAAGCATTTCTTTGTAAATATTTAGTTTCCAGCCTCTCATTATGAATGGAGGAATGAGTGGGAATACGCTGTGGTTGGGTCCAGGCGTTTCATCACAACGGACACTGTCTTTAGGAATGTACCACTCTCTCTCACTTTGGGTCACAGCTACAGACAGGTCAAGTGCTGTCTAATCACCGCCCATAACACTGTCAAAATAACATAAAAACAAACTCAGACTCTACTTTTCATATTACAGTTTTACATTTTGTGTAGCGATGAATTAATTGAAGCTGTCCTTGAGATGTGCAGGAACAAAATATCATCACAAAACTGAATCAAAACTACTGGACTTTACACATTTTTGCAGTCACTTTTTTTTTTTTTTTTTTCTTACAACTACACCCTTAAGCATGAAGAAAGACTTTTATTTAATTACTAATGAGCAAATAGTTAATTAACAATGATTCAGGTTTAGTTACTACTTAAAAGGTTTAAAGGATTAGGGAGTTAGGGTTGGGGTTAGTTATTATAAAATGTTACTTAAAGTAGTCATTCTTACTAAACATTTCAGATAGATGTCTATCTAATCTGTTTTTAAATAGCATTAAGTTTTGTTTTTACAAGTAGTACAGTAATTACAGTGGGATCTGTGTAATGAAACTGTCTTAACTATCATATATGTACTTTTCACCAAGTTTCTCAAACTGTTAAATGTAATATCCAAAGTCCATACAGTTTTCGTCCACATATAAAGCTGGTGAAAAACGTCCCAGGAAGATGACTTTCTAATAATCATTAAATGTGTATATAATTACTCATGATCATAATATGTTGAAAAACTGAAATTAGATCAGATTAGAGATTGTGTGAACATCGCCATACTTCAGTGGGTTTATTTTCGGTACAGTGAGTTTTCTTTCAGTACAATGAACGGACTTCACACAGATGTCACACCTTCAAAATATATCATGATGCGGCTGCAGGAATTCCTGTTTCTCCGGTACAAATAAAATCATTGTTTTATTAAGATAAATCACAGCTGCACATTTGTATCCTGTCATAATGAAGATGGATTTTTTGTGATAAAATTTTTAATCAATTATTTTCATTTGCAGTTATACAGCATTTTATTCCCTTTCAAACCCCACACCTCTCAACCTGAAACCTTTTATTAATGGAAATATACAAAAAAATAAAAATTTATGCATGAATCAAAATTGATAATAGGCAGTTTTATTGCCAACAAAAAGTGGTTAACCTAAAAAATAAGTCTGTATTTTATTTCGTTGGTCAGTGGTCAAGAATTACTTTAGCTGCGGACATCTGGTTTGGTCTGCACCAGCTATTGTGTTGAGACCACAAATAAGAGTGGACCTCTTACATCATCTGTGCTGCTGTAGCTGATACAGTGGCTCTTCCCACCGAAACTCACAGAAATCAGCAAAGCACAACAGGAAGACAAGCAGCTGTGATGAAGGAACGCATTTGGTCATCTTCATCATCCTCATTCGGTGGATCATCCTTTTTTTATGTTTTGTGAACTACCTCTTTTCATTCATAAGTCAAGCATCTTTGTAGCGGTGCATGGAGGACAGCTGATATTCACGTCTGTGTCTGTACATTGCAGTTTTATTCTAAGTCGTATTTCTTTCTATATAACTGCTGGACCCATGCGGCGCTCCCCAGTGTGCAAGTGAAATATGTCTTGGTCTGATTGGAGCATCTGGAGACAGGTTGTTTTCATCAGTTGCACACGGAAACAGTTTGATCTGGCCAGGGCTTTACCATCATTTGGATGTGCTGAGGCTTCCCTGTTTTGCCTGAAGAAATACTCCAGCATCCTGTGTTTTTACGGAAACCTGTGGACCACGAGCCAGCACTTTTTTGGATTTGTATCAGCTTGTTTCGCACGTTGCAATTAAGACTACAAGAGATTTCAACCTGGATTAGTTCTTTTTGCACGCATTATACATTGCAGCCACTTTTTCAGATACAGATGTTTAAATTTAGGAGAGATTGAGCTGCCAAACAAAATTCACCTGTTGGTACAAATAAAGTAGCCTTGAATCTTAATTGTAGAAATGTCACTATTTTATGTTGGTTAGTTAAATTTAATGCACTTTTTGATAGCTCAGCCAACACCGCTGTATTAATCTTTCAGTCTTCCAGGTAGCAAAAGACAAAAGTTTGAATGAATGTTTCTTTTTGTTTGAATTTTTCTTTGCTACTCTTACTACTATTAAATTTTCTATACTAAATTCATATTTTTCTCACACCTACTTGGTCAACTTCCTACCTTTTGATACACCGAAACAAAGCTTACTTTTTTACTCTCCATTCATTCAAACAGGCTATTTCAAGAATGATGAAGTCATGCCTTCCTTTATGGTCCAGACGTTGCTGTCCTGTACATTAACTTTTTCCAACTCCCCGAGCCAACCTCTTGAGGCTAGAGGCTTTCTGGGGTGATGCTACATAGATCAAGCCCTGGCATTTCCTGTAATTTGATAGATCTACTTCCTCAGTTGTCTTTTATCATCTGGCACGGAAGGGGTTAACAGGCTGTGAATTCATGATTGCCAACTCCCAGGATCGTATCTCCTGTAACTCAAATCAGGGACATCTGCGCTGGGCGTATGCTGCCTTCCCCCTGGCCTACTGCACTCAAAGCTCCTCTGTGCTGTGGTTTGCCTGGCGCGGTCACGTGACTTCTCTGAAAATGCCCCCTCCTTTCTCCTCCCTCTTTATTTCCAGTAAACTGTTTGAAAGGAGGGGGGTGACTCAGAGTGAAACCAGCTTCCCTTTAACCGCAGCTTGTTAAAGAATTTGTCAACGTGGACTCCGGGGTGCATTTTGAGTGTGCGTGCATCCACTCTCAATAGGATGTGTCTCTATCTGTGTTTCTTTTTTTTCCCCTCTCGTCTTGAAAGGGGGTCCTAAGCTCCGATGGCGTCCTAATCGCTGAGCTTCCTGTGCGTGTGAGGTGGGCGTGGGCTTGTCAGGAGTTAATGAGATGAACTTTAACCGTCTTCGAGTCGGGGGCACACTCTGCTACTCCGGAGATGTGTGTCGTCTGTGTGAAAGAGTTTCATTGAGAAAAAAAGAGAAGGCAGCGAGCGAAAGAGAGGCGGAGAGAGAGAAAGAGAGAGGGAGGGAAGGAGGGAGGGAGGGAGGGAAGGAGAGAGGGAGAAACTGTGCGTGGGTGTTGACTGGTGTGTAGGCTATGCATAGATTTTTCCTTGTCTGACACTTGAGTTTTCCACATGTAGCAGAGTGCCTGTTGTTCCTGCACATGTTTTGAACTCTCTACCCCGGGACACTATCTAAATGTTTGGAAAAATTGATTTGTCAAATAAAATGAAAACATATTTTGTTGATTTCATTGAAAACACTGTACTACACTTACATTTTAGACTTGGACTTTGACTTTGATGAACTTTATTGATCCACAAGGGAAAATATTTGGACACAGTAGCTCACACATCACAATAAATACAATAATAAAGCGTAGAAATGTAAATAGTAATAATAACATCTGTTTTTAAATAGCATCAAGTTTAGTTTTTGTTTTTACGGTTCAGTAATTACAGTAGGATGTGTGTAATAGTCTTCTCTGCACTAAACAATAATATATCTTAAGTACTTTTCCCTCTGTTTTCTTCTCAAACTGTTAAATATAATAACCAAAGACTTCTACCATAGAGCCCTTACAGACTTCCTGCACATAAAAAGCTGGTGATCATGTGAGCACTTCCGTCACCTGTGTTCAGATGTTAGCGCTGTTCCCACTGAGGTCATTTCATGTGGTTGAAGTGCAGACTGCTGAGTAAACCACTTGCGCCAAACCCAGTACCATAGACTTCTTAGCTTTAATGACGCTGCAGCCTTGACAAGATCTTCCCAAATGTAATTGCTCTTAGCCCAGCCCCACAGGCCGGTAGTGGGGGGGTGCGGGGGGAGCAGCAGGCAGCCCTGGCGACGTGCCCGGCAGAGATGGTGATTTTCCATAAGCCGCCAACAACAGAGTCTGGATGTCTGAACCCCAGTCATCTTCTCTGATCCGAAGACACAAAAAGGGAGAGTGTAGTTCAAGGGCGTAAATCAGATGTCACTAGATCACTCACGCACACACTCATACACATACACACTCATACACACACGGGACAGCCCCCCACACCTCCTCAGGACCCTTTGTTTAACAGCACTGGTGTGAGCAGCTCTGTGTTCCGCCTCATGTGCACTACACCATGTCACACATGTGCCTCAGACTCCCATGGTTTCTGTGGCGTTGGCTTCGTCAGGTGTCCCGTCCCAGACAGCCCTCAGTGGTTCAGCTGTAAACTAACCATACACATTCTTTCCTCTGCTCTGTCCCACCAGCGGAGCACATGCACCCGCTCACATCTGTGCATGTGCATGCTCCCAATGGCCAATTAAAACACAGACTTATCCGATGAGAAGCGCCTCCTCATTGGTTTACAGTAGAGACACAAATTCAAATTGTGAACCAATGAGATTTGTGGTCGATTTGCTCCCCCCACCATGACCTTATTAGGACACCTCCCATGTCTCTCAGATTTCCTGGCCGCTGGGCAGCACTGTGAAGAATGTCCCGAGCACTGTACTGGTTCTGTTGACCATATTTGGTCAGATCGAGTCTCACCCCTCCCCTCAGCACCTCTGGTGTTCGGGCTCAGAAGGCCCCACTTTGGATCCAAAAGAAAATTAAACCTTATGTTCAAAATATTTACTGTACAAAATATCCTGTTCTTTGGTACATTTCATATTGTCTCAATTTCACTCAGAAAATGTATCCATTGTATGTGAAGAAAAAAATGAAAAAATTACTGAATATGTTTTGGGTAAATTTAATTAATTGAAGAACCTCAAAACTGCAGTTTAGAACACAGAAAACACGTGTGCTGCTCAGTGTTCAGTGTGAAACATATTGCACAAATGTTTACGTATCGACCATGTTTAAGTATCATTTAATAAATGCGATTGTAGCTTTTGGCAAAGATGAACTCTAAATAAAAATACATCTTAGATCTATAAAAAATATTTGCTCAATATTTCCTGAAACATTGTTCATTTGCACTTTTTTAGTTTCTATTTTGCAGTTAATGTTTTGATTTGATTAGAATTAATTGTGTTGTGCAATGAGCATAAAAATGCAAATTAAAGTATATTAAACAGCAACAACTCAAGACTCCAATGCTGGCCCTAATTCTATAAATAATTTGCTAACTGAACCAATTTAATTGTTCAGCTAAACTAAATGTGCAACTAAAAATGTAATCAGCAGGAACCATAAGCACAACATATACTGTCTATTTTTGTTGAAATATAAATTGTTTAATCTGCTTTTTTAAATGAAAAATCCTTGTCTCCCTGTGCGTTCCCAGAAACAGTCTAATTACAGTGTTTAGGGCTGTTCTTTCCAGTACATTTGGATGAAATAGTGTGTCATTTGTCAGTAAAGGGTCTTTTGTTTAGCCGGAGGATGGGGTCAGACTAGACGAAAAACTAGCCTTGTGACTCATGAATTACCTGAATTGTTAACTACTTCTCAGTTTTTCTGTTATAAGAAAATTATAATGTAACTCCAATGAAAGCTCCGTAACACAGTGGCCTTATGCTGTTTGAAAATAAAAAACTTCTACTGCACATGTATAATAAAATTGTGTAAATTGAGTGCAAAATTGGAGACGAATCTAGGTTATATATAAGGGGGTATACTATTAGAAAGACAGATTCAAATATGTATTATTAAAAAATATTATCTCACTGAAAAAATCTGTTCATGGACAAAATGTGAAAATGTTCAAAATACATTTAAATGCATGTAAATACTGTTCAAGTTGTATTGTTTTGAGTTTTTACAAATTTAACTTTCAGTAATAATCATGTTCATATAGAAAAGAGCACACTGTTTATTTTGTGCATTTTAATAAGGTTTTTAAAATATTTTTATGTTGCTTTTCTTTGGTACAAAATTAAACACATGCTTTTTACCACTTAGAAATTATTGATGGGAAAGTGAGCTGTAAATCATAATACATATATTTATTTTAAGTTTGCAGTAACCTACACTGTTGGACCATCCATGCAGACATTACGCACCAGATTCATTATTTAAATTCTTTTCATTTGGTTAAATTGTGAAACTCTTGTGTCGGGGCATGCAAAGCACAGAAAAACCTGTTGCAACATCATTTTAACATTTTATTACAAACTGCCAGAGAATTAACAAGAAACAAAAAGCATATTTTTCGTTTCACAACTGTGCAAACATACTTTCTGACCATAACTGGACATAATTAACACTGTATTTAATTGTGTAAATAACTGGAAAGGTTGAGAGCCTGAGAGAACCAAAACCAAGGCCTAACTCAAGATCCGATCCTGAAATTTGCAAAATAAATTAATTCAAGTCAAAACAATAAAGCCTTTATTTTTTTACAGCTGATTTCTGTTTTTATCATATAATTTTGGCACCCTCACGATGCTTCTTTAGGGAGCATTGTTGGGACAAATGTTTAGCAAACAAATCTAAGTTTTTGTTGCTCAAATAATTTTTCCTCATCCCAGTTACAATCTTATTTGTTACTTAAAATTATGATTCGATAACAGTGGAAAAAATATAAATAGTTACTTTTTAGTATGCGGCACAATACTTATTTTAACAATAGTTTCAGTCTGATTAATCTCTGCTTTGTAACTTGATGTTAAATAGGCCTAATTAAATGTATCTTAATATTTATTTACAGTGAGGCTCATATCTTATATCTTCTGTTGCAGGAGTGCCTCAGTGACCATGAAAGAAAGAAAAAGAAAGTGGTGATTTGAAGTTGTTACCTCTATGTAAGTATATTTCCAATGTGCACGAAAAATAATGTGCTTAAATCTAGATAAAAATATAGCACACTTTAATTAGATTATACTTCTAAAATACAGAATTAACCAGAGCAGTCTCTTATACTACAAAATCATACACACACAGCTGAAAATGCAGATTCTATAATATTCAAATAGGACTTAGTTAGAACAATTTTATAATCATATATTTGTGTATTTTATTGGCCCCTTATTCTGTCTTTGTATGCGTAATATTGGAATGTGCTGACTGAACAATTTTATTTGAATTCATATGCAAGCCTTTTCTAGTCTAGGAGTTGTGCATCAGAAATTTATAGCAAAAATCTGTGTTGATAAATACATTAAAAATCACTTTACAAAGCCCTGATAGTTTTATAGTTTGAATAGATATAGTTTTTGTACAAAAGAAATACTCTATCTCTGCAAGGGCCTGTTATATTTGTGTTTCAGGGCTAACAGTTGTTTTGTCAATACTGTGATTATTGTTTTAAACTGTTTATATGTGCAGATTTTGTACAGTTACATTGTCCATGGAGCCGGGCAGTTTTAGAAAAGCCTGTTGCCCTGTACACGCATCCCTGCTCTCACTGTTCCCAGATGGGATTAGGGAGGCCATTTTGTGCTGCCAAAGAAGAGGGGGAGTCGACCATTTTGTGTCTACCGGAGTTACAGTGCACTTCTGCTGTTAAAGTACAGTAAGAGCTTAAGTACAAGAAACAAGGAAAAAAAGAAGTGAATGTAGTTATATGAGGGTTAGACGTTATAATGTTCCTTTAATCTATAAAAAAGTGTAAGGATGTTTGTGCTCAGGAATCTGTCAGTGTTAATACTGTCAGTAAATGTGATGCATGGACAGTAGACATTAAAACATGTTTTCAATTAGCGAAAGACTGCAGTGGCAATCCTTAGTAAAACTGAGTGAACATTTGTCACTTTGTCAATTTAGTTTACAATTCCATTTACTGTAAAAAATAAAACTATATCAGGAGAAAGAGTTAAACATTTTTAGTTCGTCATTGTGAGAGAAGTTGCAGTATAGCGTTATGTAATCTTTAATAAAGCTGAGACTGTCTCAGCAAAACTGAATGAAAGTTTGTTATTCAGGAATTTGTCACTGTTAATACTGCCAATAAATGTGATTCATGACAGTAGATATTAAAACATGTTTTCAATTAGTTTCCTCAATATGAGAAAAACTGCAGTGGCAATCTTTAGTAAAACTCTGAAAGTGTGTAATTTAGGAGTTTGTCACTTTGTCAATTTAGTTCACAGTTGAATTTACTGTAAAAAAAAAAAATGCTATATCAGGAGAAGGAGTTAAACATGTTTAGTTAGTTCGTCACTGTGAGAAATATATTTAACTTCATGCAATCTTGAGTAAAGCTGGGACGATCTCTATCAAAACTGAATGAAAGTTTGTTAATTTATTACTATGTAAATGTAATACCGAGAAGGAGTTTAAACCTGTTTCCTGTTACTATCTTCTTAGCGAGAAAAGAGGCTATTTGGAGGTGAGCCTTTTAGTAAAACTGAGATTGTCTGTGGGTGGTGAAGAGAAAGGACAAGGGGCAGATAGGGGAGCAAAAGAGGGAGGACAAGGGGCAGATAGGGGAGCAAAAGAGGGAGGAGGGGTCCTACCACACACACGCAAGGGCAGATTACACCCATGGGCCCCCTGTGAGGTGTACCCCCCCTACCCCCTTCACCCGGCTCTGTCCTGTTGTAATAGGTTGATGTCATAGTTTCAGATGGAGGGCAGGGGCCTATATACGTCTATGAACTCTATGGGAGGCTGATTTTGAAAGAAATATCTAAACTTACCACACATGTTGAACCTCATCATTATTTGTTAGGGACTGGCCCCGTAAACTTGCAATATTGATTTTATGGCTTTAAATTCTTTCAACTGACAACAATATTTTAATTCTCTGAAGCTATTGTGAAAAGAAATGTCAGTGTTGTTTATATATACTGACAGAGAAGGCGTAGAACTTTGTGCTATTTTTTGTTTCATATGAATAGGCTCAGTAATTACAGACATATTGACGATAAACCAGGTCACCAAATCTGCAATCTCACAGTTAGACAGCAAATTCTGCCATAGAATTCTGGCCTGTCCTCCAGCTTATTTTTAAACTATAATAATATAAAAACTAGTATACAAACTGGGTATTGATTTGAACCAGTATCTATACTAAAAATCACATTAATATTGTTTTAAAATGATGGTGAACTTTTATCAGAACTAGTGTAAGACCACAGAGAAAGTTGTATTATTTTGTGTTGTAAGTGACAGTCTAATATTAAAAGAAAAATGAAAATTTGGTATCTAAATCAGTATTGAGCCAAATCCATTCCCTGGTATCAAAATAGAGTTTTAAATTTTTGCATTGTCATAAAATTAAATAGGACTCACGTGATGATACCTGTAGGGAATATCTAAAGGAGTTTTTGAATCGTGCGCACCTGCTGTCTTGGCCCTGGCTCTGTACCTTATTTCAGGTGTGTTCAGTCTATTGGGAAAAGCGTTTTTATTCGTTTCTGCTCAGATTGTGCACTGCTGAATGGCTGTATGGCTTCAGGTCACTGGAGGATGATAATGATGTCATGGAAAAGCATGTTTGAGGCTCTTGGGACATTTGCATATAACTGAGGACAAAGACACTGGAGGTGTGACAGAGGAGCAGGTTTTGATAGGTCAAAATGTTTCTTCCTTTTACACTGAAATGCACAGTGTATCAGTAACTGTTCTCTGAAATGTGAAAATTACTATCTTACAAGGCATTAATTCTGTTTAAGGACCACGTATTAATGGCTAACCATAAATGCATAGGGCTCAGTGCTTAATCTCTCTCTCCAGTAGTAGTACGAGGAGGAGGAGGAGTGGTGGTGGTGGTGGTAATAGTGGTAGTAGTAGTAGTAGTAGTAGTAGTAGTAGGAAGAGTAGGAGAAATAGGAGTAGTAGGAGAAGGAGTAGTAGGAGTAGTAGGAGAAGGAGGAGGAGTAGTAGGAGAAGGAGTAGGAGTATAGGAGTAGTAGTAGTAGGAATAGGAGAAAGAGGAGTAGTAGTAGGAGGAGGAAGAGGAGTAGGAGTAGTAGGAGAAGTAGTAGGAGTAGTAGTAATACAAGCAGTAGTAGGAGTAGTAGTAATAGTAGTAGGAGTTCATTAGCATTATTAACAATAGATGTTTTGTTAACACTTTGTCATATAACTACAGTTTTATTAGTCTTAAGAATGATTGGTGCTTAAATACTTGAGTAATACTATTTAATGTAATAACAGTAACTCCTCACTCTCGTCTATACTAAGCCCAATTGCTTCTAATTATACTATTTGTACAGTTTAAATTAAGTCACGCTTTGTAAAGTGCAGCTGATTCTTTTGTATACCCCATAGTCAGTGATGGGAAAAATACTTTGAAAATGTATTTAGTTACAGAATACTGAATACTGGCATTAAAAATGTATTTTGAAACATATTCTGATACATGGTCCAATTAGAGTACTGTATTTTGAATACTTTTACACATAGTAGCATTTCATTTATACTGTAAAGAGGCAACAGAGCATTAAAAACAGCTTTATGTTTGTTACTCAGAATTAGTATTGTGAATATGTATTCTCTTTAAATGTATTTAGTTCCTTCCCAACACTGTCTACAGCCTTTTTAATATTTTAATAATAATAATGTTAATATTATATCTGTTTTGTCAATAATAAGAGCTGAATAATCACACTAGCAGATCAAATGGGAGTCAGTGAAGATAGAGGCTGCGTGTTAAGTGTCTCTATTTGTTATCAAGAATATCACTGATTCCCAAATGAGTCAATTCTGTGTCACCGATTCCCAGCACACAATTTTGTCAGCGTTCTTGCAATCATTTTCTCAGGATAATCTAATTCTGTTACTCAGAGAAATGCATTTCGTCTCATGGGCTACTATAAGTATTTAAATAATACTTATTTAAAGTGCATAAGTGCATATGACAGTTTAGACTTTTTTCACTAAAACATAACATTGCAAGATTATATTCAAGATTTTACAAGCCTAGTTTTTCTGCTTTCTTTTTTTTTTTTTTTTTTGGCAAGTTTATAATTTTACTTCCTGCTTGGATATGGGCAGCAGATTCAATCTACTAGAGGTAATTTTAAATATGTTACCTAGCAACAATAATGTTAACAAGAGCCAAAACTTGTCTAAATTGCACAGTAGTTATGATTTATGGTTAGATTAATGTTAAATGATTGTTTAAATTGCCTTGCGCATACATTGTTCTTATTGTGGATGGAATATTCTGTGTTGGAGGTATTGATTGATTAATTTATTGTATTTATTGGGAGCTTATGATAATAGTTACAGGTACACAGCACTTACAGCTACATGGTGCAAGATTACATAATAGTTTTTTTTTTGGTTTGTTTGTTTTCTTTCATAGCTGCAGACGCGCCTACATATTCAGAGGTATTTCTTTTTAGAACTCACCTCTACTTCCTGCATGTTTGTACTTTCTTTCAACTTTTCTCACTTAACTGGTGCAAAACTATGATTTACTAGACGTACTACCCCACCAGTTCTAGTATTAATAATTCAAAAACCGCAAATCCTGTTATATGCACTTACTTACACATTCACATTGGGTTTCTGTGAAGTGACCTTAATCTGGAAGTGCAGCATTTTAATTTTGAAAGACAACAGTATGACCCAGTTGACGTGTTACATAAACTTTGAAAGAATCCGCCTTTGTTAATGCTTTCTGCCCTGTCACTTGGCATTACACTTACTGTATGGCTGACTATGGAATCACTAATATTGATATGCAGTTGTATACAGCCCTTTGTGATTATCGCGTGACCCATAAAAACGTATTTAGTGCTTGATTTTTAGTAAAGTAGGTTACATAATTTAGAAACATTATTGCTCTGGCTGGAATAGTTTGGGGCTGTGTTAAACCAATCCTATCCTAAATACACAACTTAGTCCTTTAAAAGTACTGTGAATAGAGTGATAATGTATTTGCCAGTAATGACCAGCTCTTTTTTTTACTTTTTTTAAATATCTCTATGGATATTTGTGACACAATTTGCAAGTAACTGTCTTGAAAAAGTGTTGATCAAAATAATAAAAAGACAATATTGGCTCACAGTGAGGAAACTGGTATTCAAAACTTCAGAATGGTGACTTAACATGAACAATTAATACTAAATTGTTTAAATACTTTTGAATTGGGAAAAGACGATGCTGCAAAACAGGAAGCTGAAACCCATAAATAGTTGAATAAGAATAATAAAATAAAGTTGAACCTTTTAAGACTACCAAACTATGTGCAGTAAGTGAGTATGATTGTGAGTGTATGATGTTGACAACAATAAATACAAAGTAATGTCTAAAGTTGTCTAATATGTAACTTTTTATGGGCTAATACTCTACTACTCTACTATACTAATATTAATTTAGATGGGGGCAGGTAAAATCACTATAATTAAAATTATTTTGTTGCAGTACAGAGACTTCTTGGGTCTAGTCAATAGTAGAAATGATCAGCTTCAATATTTGTGCATTTTATTTGGATATTTCATGGCAAAGTACAATGTAAACAATAAGAAAACTGCCATCATCAAATTGTAAAATCTGAAACACCAACAGATTAGAGGTTCATTTCTCAGCATTACATTTGAATCATCTTGTTGAGTGATGTGTGTGGAGAAAATAGTGGCGCATTCTTACCGTTTAAGAGGACACTGGTCTGGACTTGAGTCTCCTGGTGACTAAGCAGGAACCAAAGCGGACAGGAGCCGGACCCCCTGAGCAGCTGGGCCCCTGTACAGAGTGACTCCATCTCTTTTTTCCCACTAAAGCCTGTTCTGACAATAACCGTCCGGATTTGCTGACATAGCTGCTCTTTGTTGTTGCTGATGTGTCACGGGACTTCTAAGGCTTTAATTTAAGATCATTCATGGTTCACAGTGTTAAAAAACTGAGAGGATGTCTAGCATTGGTTAAAATGACTTGAATTCACAATATTAAGATTATTTAGATGTGCACAATGTAACTTTTTTAGTAATCCATAACCATGAAGATGTTATAATGTGTGTGATTTTTAATTATCTGTAAAGCTCTTGGTTACATGCTGTATATGAAAAGTGCTTTATTAAAAAACAAGTTTCATTAGATATTAAATAAATATAATATTATACATTTTCCACTACATGGCATTAGACATATTTGATTTCTGATGATTTAAGGTAATTTTAACGTGAAATCAGAAACAAAATCTACCAGTGAGGTAAAGTTTACTAATCTCATTGTCCATTAACTTGGATTGAGATAAATAAATAAAACTTATGGAAACCTGTGTGAAATATCTTGATAAGTCTAATAGGCTAGGTAAATTAGGTATATAATACTTCTGTAGTCAAAAGAACTTGAAAAATACAAAAATTCTGAATTCAAGTAATTTTAACTAATATCTCCCTCAGGTTTTTACAAGGGTATGGTGGCACAGGCTGTCCTTTAGTGGGGAAAAAAAAGATATAATACAATATTTCTAAAGGTTATGTCACTTATTGCCTCTATTAATTAATAAAGGACTGATTAAACATTGAATAAAGTTACCTGTATATATTTATGATAATACAATAAGCAAAAAGTGTTATTTTAAGTGTCTGATGGGGCCCAATATAGTCTCCTCTACTAATGGGTAACAGTGTAAATATTCACGATTGTTTGTATAGTGCACAAACTCAGCTTGGTGTACGTGTTAAACTGTGTCAGCACTAAAGGTTAGGGCTTTGTACATTGACATTAGGGCACATTTGTGGGAGGTAGGGAATTTCTGATCTTTCACTGCTCTGCCTGACCTCATGCACCAGTCACTGAACATAATCCTCCTTTTTTACAGTAAACCATGGTCATCTCCACCAGACCCACAGACGATGGACTGATGTGAGGTGAGTAACACAGGGAGGAGGCCTACATGTGGACACGGGTCTATGGTTTTCATGTTAAGTTCTCAGTACAGGTTCACATAATATCCTACAGAGACTTTTGTTTAATATTGAGTTGGGGGCTATATTCATAAATCTATGGTAGAGTTTTAACTGTTCTGTCAAAGTGTAGATGTTTAGACCTGGTTTATAGTTAATTTCTCTATAATCACTGGGACTATACATAGTTCAATGTCTTTTCCATTAGTCCGGATGTAAATGAGGTGTGACATTTGTTTTTTGCTATAGTGTAAGTGGGCGGGTGGGCAAAAGTTGTTACCAAAATAAGGGTATAAAGTGATATTTCTTTTATGGGTAGTTTTATAGTCATTTCACATTTGTCTGATACTTATAAGTTTGATTTAAAGATGTATTTTAACACATTTCTGTTGATTTGACAAAATATCATCTGAATGTTGTCTTGATTCTCCAAAAGACATTTAGATTTCTATTTTTGTCAGTACCACGCTAAAATTGCGAAAGGTTTCACGTGTCGATTGTCTGTTAGTTAGTAAGTTATGCACATCTAACTCTCCATCTGAAATTAATGCTACCTAAACAAATCAGACTTGAGAAAAGGCAGATTTTATGATATATTGATTTGTTTTTCTTTGTTTTTGTCTCCGGGTTTCTTACGCGTCTTGAGGCAGAGGTAATAGCTCGAGAAGGTGATTAATGGATGGATTTTTCCACTGTGCGTCTATGGGCATGGACATGTTCTGGCTCCTACACAGGACAACATGAACTCTGCAGACTCCAGCCAATCGTTTTTCCTCTCAAAAGCAACAACAGACAATGAGGAGAGTTTCTTTTATTGTTTTGTTTTTTGTTTTCTTCTTACATCAACAGAAAATTAAGCAGTTTGAGTTTTTTTGTTTTTTTTTTAATTCAGAGCAGATATCTATAAATCGCCCTGATGGACACAAAGATGAATTTCACACACTGATCACTGAGTACACAGTGTGCTAAATGATACTTTCCCAGTCTTTAACTAACAGATGATTGGCACGTTTTGCAATTTTAAGGTGGTACTGACATAAATATAAATCTAAATGCTTTTTGGAGTATCAAGATTATTTCAGATTATATCGAACCAACTGAAAATGTTAAAATATGTCTTTAAATCTATAAATGTGAAAAACAGAAGTAGTTCATTTTTAACTGTGTGGTACAGAATTTATTCCTCACTTTTCTGATTCAGTCTTAGCATGCTTATTATTCACCACAGTGAGGCCAGAGCGGAGTTTTGCCTTTGCTCTAATACTAACAACAACTAGCATGCTAACAGCACACCAGATGATAATCAGAAAAAGCTTTACAATTAGACAGAGGTCTCATTATGACCTTAAAGGTGCACACGTATCATTTCCAGTGGAGGGTCGGCCCTTGCTTGTCTCCACTAAAGCAGATTACAGCACTATGCTACATTACAGTTCAGATCTGTGGAGATTTGTCTCTATTCACAGAAGCAATTATTGCACAATAGATACACTACTGGTCAAAAATCTTAGAACACCCTGATTTTTCCAGTTATTTTTTGCATTTCAAGTCGTGCAAGTTCAATGAAGAGCTTGAAATGGTACAAACGTAGGTACAGAACACTCAGGGGTTAAAAAAAAAAGATAAAAGATAACAACACAAGTCAAAGCTCTGCCAAAACTACTTCAGGAAAAAAGAACAAGATGGTAAGCTTGAAAATATGGAGTGGCCAGCACAGTCTCCAGACTTAAGCCCCACTGAGCTGGTTTTGGGATGAAGTGGACAGAAAAGTAAAAGTCAAGCAACCTACAAGGGCCACACATTTATGTGAACTTCTGCAGCAGACTTGGGAAGAACTTTATGAATATTTGATTTCTATTGTAAAAAGAATGATGGCTACTTTCATGAATCAAAAGTTTAGAATATATTTTGGTCAACAGTAAACAGTAAAAAAATGGAAAAAGTGTGGTGTGGTTCTAAAACCTTTGACCAGTAGTTTGTGTTTAATGTCATACCATGGAACATTTTAGGCAAAGCAATAACATCTCCAGTAGGTAGTGCACCTTTAAGAGCTACTTTTACAATACGTGTGTACAGGGGCATTTTACCTTGGAAAAAGAATGGTGCATCCCCTTTATGACAACGTGAGAGGGGTTGTAAATTTAACTTTGACGTGGGTGCTACTGGAAACTGGCCCGAACACATCTGTGAGAATCTGCTACACATTTCATTTGAAGTACTTTTACACATTCACTGATGCATTGTCATTTTGAAATATCACCATGGTGTACTTTGATGCAGGCCGTTACAAGACAGTCAGAGTTGATTTCTTTTGGGGTTTCTTCAGTTCAGTCTCATGCGTGTGATCTCAGGACATAGTTGTGAAAGATGTGTGTCTTACATTCACAGTTCATTGAGCCAAAGAAGGGGCAGATCATTGGTTATTGACAGGTTTCACTCTGACTCACTGACTTCTCTCAAGAGGAAGTTTCCCTCTTTACAACTTTTAACTGTCAGTTTCCTTCCTGTGAGGGGCCCAGGTTTTACAACTCATTCTCTTTCATTCTTAATCACGACAGATTATCTTTCAACTGAACAGAAAGAGGTTTGAATCATCCGTGTCTGACACCTAATATAACTGTTAAGCTTTTTCTTTTTTCTCTTTTCCCTGCCCAAACTTTATTTAGCAGCATTTCACAGAGGTGTCGACATCAGTAAGGCAATATATTTGTATGAAGTCAACAAGCTTAATAACAACAGAGGTAATACAAAATTTCAGTCAAAGAAGAACAAAATACAAGCAGATCTTTTATTTGCTGGATGAAAAATGAGATCCGAGGCACTCCAATATACTTTTGCAATGATTTTATTTCATTGTTTCATAAAATCATTGCAAAGTATATCAGAGTGCCTCAGATCTCCTTTTTCATCCAGTAAGTTATTTGTCCACTCGGGATCTCCGAAGAGCTCCTGATTATTATTTCACTTCAGCACATCTATTTAGACTTAGACAAACTTCAAATTTCTTCGCAAGGTCATTTATTTGCTTGTGTGCTATCAATTACAAGGAAATGAACACCTTATTCTCAAATTTAGGAATAATATTTCGCAATTAAAGGACCCATGTTACTCTGTTTTCTGATCTATGTTATAATGTTGTTTCCTGGAGTTGTGTTTTTTTTTTCATTAACACATTTTTAACACACTCACCCTGCATATCTAGGCAGAGTTCTTCCTCAAACACATGTTCCAGCTGTCACATGGTAATACAAGAAGTGCTCCACTGTGTTTTTAAACTCCATACGCCTTCACAAGGACAATATGGATAATTTCAGTCTTGGAACTGTCGATCTCTACTGAGCAAAAATTAGAAGGTAGTTGTTAAATTTAAAACTACAGCTTCATGACAACACAAAGGGGAAGAGAGCATTTTGAGGTTTGGAGATGTAAATAGTTGTAGGAATCGTTGTGTTGTTGTGTGTTGGAATTATTTTATTATTATATTGTATTGTTGTGAGCTGTTTTATTATATAGTGGACATCCAAGTTTTCATTGAACTCCCAAGAGTACATCTCACTTTCTCCATGTTGACAAAAATAATTTAACTGCTCAAATAGTCTTGAAACTTTATATGAATGATTTGATTATTTTATGGTATTGTTGTGAATTGTTTTATTTCATGTGAACTATATCAGGTGAGCTTCAGGAGCGCAGTGACATTGCTTCTTTGGTGTTTTACTGATAGGAGCATTTGGACTTTGGCAATAATGATTTCACATGACATAATCCCACATTGCACAAATCACTTCCTGTTCAGCGTGGTCAGGTGACTTAACTGGCACACATTCACTTATTACAAACGTATTACACAAGACTACAACTGGTCCTGTGTAGTTTTGTTTGTACTTAAATTCCATTACTATGCTCTTGGTCTTTGTCATAGTACTATCTTATTGTGTGTGTCATTTGTAAACGGGGAGAGTCGCGCAGATTTATCATGAAGGAAGTATGAGCTTTAAACACAAAGGTGAATGTGGCAATCAAGGCGTGCATCAGTTCACTGACTCATGCAGTTGTAATCTGTTTATTTAATAATTAGAACATTGTACATATAATAAAGTAGGTCAGGCTGAAATGAGTAGAAAATGATCAGGATGTGTGTTTTATTCACTGTTACTCTGTCTTTTTAAAAACTGAATTAAAATGGCTTTCAGTATTGACATGAACTATACATACATTTTAATCATTGCTGTTTAACACATAAAGTGATTAGAAATGACTTCATCTCACTTTCGATTAAAATTAACTGATTAACTGTAATGCCTAACAATAAAACCTTTCATTTGTAAACGATTGTAGTTATTAATTGGCAATATATTTAATTTCAATCCATTTCATTAAATTTTTTTCCAAACTATTGTTGAATTCTTATAGTTTTTTGTTTTTTTTTGGGTCTTAATGGACAGTTGGCTTACAGTTTTTCCACTAGACAGGACTTTTCTTTTTTCCAATAATAGTATCATGAACATAATAAAACTTTCTTTGAACTGTCAGAACGTCGTAATAAAACACTTGTGACTCTTATGGCTCATGAGGAAGGACTGATAAACAGAGCCAGTGGGATTGAGGGCTGATCAGATCCCGGTTCATCTCATTCATGTACATAAGTCCTCTTCAAACTCGTGAGCGTCAGCAAAAACTTTTGCAAAGTTGTTTCAAGAAACTCTTTGATCCAGATTTGCAGCAGTTAGATGTTTTTCCCAAAAAAAACATTGAAGCTTATGACAGGTTAGACTTTCATTTAAACATACTTAACCAATTATATTTTAAGATTTTATTATAAAATGTATTTTAGCTGGACAATTTTGATGGGCATTCATAATTTTACTTCCTGTTTGGACACAGGCAGTAAATGTGACGTAACTAGAGGTGATCCCATAACAGTTACCTAGCAACCATGATGTTAACAAGGGCCAAAACTTGTCTAAATTGCACAATATTTGACAAATAAAAGAGTATCTTTCAATCTTTGGTTTGTTAAATAAATGATTAAACTGACAAATCTTCCTTGTGTGTAAATTATCCCTACATTTTCAATGGAATTTTGCATATTGAGGACATAGATAGTGGGATTTGCAGCTGATGTTATTCCTTGGGGTTGTAATGCTAACAGTAGGCATTGCTCTGTCTGAAGCTTTGTTAGACTGAACTGTATTTTAACACATTTCGACCATAAAGAACTGACTTAGCTTGAACTACAACAGGTGAGCTGATTTATTGTTAAACAAGTTTTTTAATATTACATAAAATTACAGGCACAAGCTACTTATAGTTTTTCTTCAGTTTTCAGACAATCTTAAAACATTTATTTGCAGTGGAGAAAGAGTGCTATCAGCTACATGCAAATTAACACCGTATTCTTGAATTTAGGAATAATGTGCCTCAATTAAATGACCCATGTTACTCTATTTTCTAATCTATGTTATAATATTGTTTCTGGAGTTGTGTTTTGTTTCATTCACACATTTTTAACACTTGGTTGCATTCTTCTCTCAAACACTCTGTTCCAGCTGTCACAAAGTGCTCTACTTTGTTTTTAAACTCCATACACTTTCACTAGAATTATTTGGATCATTTCAGCCCTGGAACTGCCAATCTCTACTGAGCAAAAAGTGAAAGGTAGCTGTTAAATTTAAACATCTGAACAGGACCACAAACGCTCATATTGATCACAGACTCCTGAAAATGTGTTGTTTAAATCTATTTAATATTTTTCTTCAGTTTTCAAACAATCTTAAAACTTGTCTGTTGTGTCACCGTGGTAACTCCTAAACATTCCTCCGTTAGAGCAACATGTAGAACACCCCCGGCACGACGTCAATGCAAATTTCAGCTTTCTTCCGGAACGGCCTCTTAACTGCTGTAAAACTATGATAAATATTCACCACAGGTACTATCCCACCAAACTCTGCAATAATTAGAAAAACCTCAAAAGCTGCTGGGCGCACTTTAAGCTCATAAAAAGTGCGTTCCAGTATTTGACACAGATTTCACAAACACATTCATTTAGTGCTACTGTCTCATTCCTTCCTTTCTCTGTGCCGACATTTGGGGCCGTACGCTGGATACATAGATAATGGAGAAGAGGGACCTTTTCTGTGTTTTGAAACTGTGTGGGGCCCAGAAATGAGGCCCAGTTTTGCCCTTTTGATCTGCTTTGTTTGAGCTAAATTGTCAAGACAGTCGGTTTGTGAAAATTTTTCCATCAGCCAAACTGCAACTTAAAAGGCAACTAATTTAAAGGTACACTGTGTAACTTTTCTGATAGGGGGTCTGCCACTTTTCTTTCCCTTAAGTTGCCTTTATTATTCAATAGTATGACACTGTCTTGCGTTTTTCATTTACAGATGCTTTTAATGCTTAGTAAAATACCTTGAGAAACATACATTCTTACTGTGTTACTCAGTGTTACTCAGGGGGCTCGCCTCTCCACTGATCTAACATGTTAATGGTAAGAGAATCTTTATTGTCCCACAATGGGGAAATTCCAGTTATAAAGATAAATAACTATTAAAAAAAGAACTAAAACCCACCAATCTAATATTACAAATACTTTGAATAGAGTTTCAATAAGAAGGTATAAAAATAGCAATACAAGTATACTGTAAACTGTACAAGTAGAGTAAACAATACATGGCTACTTTACAGTACAGTATATGGACAGAATAAATAAAGTAAATAAATAAATAAATAAGATGGATAATGTCATACTGTGGAACACTTTTTAAGGCAGGTGAATAGGAACAAATCTTAAATTTTGAGATATAATTTTGAAAATTCTCCTGTAGTTTATTCATATAAAATTAAGAAAAAATGTATTATACATTTTTGATCATGTAATGTTGTCTTATAATAATGTATAAAAATAAATATGATTGTTATGACGCTATGGGGGGAAATGCATTTTGAGAAAACAGTCATTGAAACAGACGTTGAAGTTTTCCGTGTCCCGTATAACTAGTCTCAAGTTGATTAAATTAAATATTAAAACATCTTTCAGTGCAGAGTTGATACGATTGTTTCTACATGAAAGCTTGTATGTTAAGAGACCAAGCTGATCAAAAAAACTAAACATTTAAAAAGATTTGTTTACTGTGAAATTACCAGCTAGGGCTCCACCATTTTGCTTTGTAAAATACTTAAACAAAACTGCATTCTTACGGTGAGTGGGCTCGCCTCTCCACTGATCTAACATATAATTTGATTCTTTAGTATTTACGTCTAGTCTATTATTTAGTTTTGTTAAGGTCTAGGGCTTGACCAAACTTCTAACATGTATTTACTTTGTGAGAATGCGAAAAGGAAAGAAAGTGTGAAAAAATGAAACTACCAGCTAGAGCTCCACCATTTTGCCACTCTTCATGCTTTAAACAGTATCTTTGATGAATGGGGTAAGGCCATGTTTTGTGCTTGACACATCCATCAGTCTGGTATGTCAGGGGAGGTGCTATCTCTGTCAGGATCTGGGCAGAGGCTTTGAGATGCAGAGAGGAAGAGCTAGGAGCAGCTTCTCACTGAGAATACTGCATTCTCCACAAGTCCACCTACAGAGCAGAGTTCATTACCAGCACAAAGGACATGTAGATGACTATTTCATTGGTTAAGAACAGTGTGGGGCAGAGGCGCAGCAGGCAGTCCACACAGAGACACCATTTAGCTACTATCTTTAATGTTTACAGTGTACTGGTAGTGTTAAGATGTGGGGAGGACTGTCAAAAGTATTAGCAGTGTTGGGAAGTGTATAAATACATGTACCGAAAATACGCATTTACTACTT